TGAAAATAAACGATGTGTGTATATGTGGTTTAGTGTTTGTTGTACGTTCTCATCTGCAGTACCGTGTTGTTCCACCAGGTGATGCTGTGGCTCCACGGCGGAGGAATGGCCATCGGCAGTGCCGACACCTACCCGGCCGAGATCCCCACGTTCTTCAATAACGTCGTCATGGTAACCATCAACTACCGTCTGAGCGGCCTGGGCTTCATGCCGACCCGGGACTCCGACACGGACGGGAATTATGCAGTGCTGGACGTGGTTAGTTTTACCTCTCAAAGAGTCTAACGTTACACATCTAAGAATGGTAAAATTTGCAACACCAATGCATTATGTTTACTTCAACATGGTCTAACCTAACAAACTACTGCTCTGTTTATTCTTACTCAAACACATTTCTAATGTATGGTTACCAGCCCCTCCAACTCTGGCTTGCCACTTGCTACATAATGACTAATCTAACACTGATTCAGCTCGAGTTTATACCATGGTGACAGTCGTCTTGTCCAGGTTTTAACTTTATTTGTTCGTATCAGAGAAGACTAAGAAACTGAGCGGATACAGCACACACACACGCACACACACACACCGTCAGGTCGGACACACACACATACACAAAACATAGTGTCACACACACAAACAAACGAATACATAGAGGTAATGATTGTACTCAACTGTACGCACTTCTTTCCACTACCGGTACATCACAGGTAAAAGCCCTCCAATGGGTCCAATCCAACATCCGTAACTTCGGTGGGGACCCTGACCGCGTGACGGTGTTTGGTCAGTCCGGTGGCGCGTGGCTGGTGTCCCTGCTGGTCATGTCCCCGGTCAGCGCCGGGATGTTCCACCGGGCGGTGTCCCAGAGCGGCGTGGCCGGGGTCAAGTCCAGCCGGAGGGGCGACCTCACGCTGCCGGAGACTCTCGCTGCCTCGCTCAACTGCACAACGGCTTCGTACGACGGCATGATGACCTGCCTGAGAGGGTAGGTTGTACATCTAGATTTTAAAAATCTTCAAGCAGATCTTTTTGCAGTTACAAGACGGTATCATACATTAGAAGACAGTGTCATATTGGATTCATTTTAAGACAGTGTGACATTGGCAAGCCAGTATCAAATAAACTACGGTTTGGCTAAAAAGACACTGGTACAAAGAAAAACATTTGTCTAAATAAGCCAAAGCCCAAAACGTCTGCTTGGAGAGTACAACATCTTCTGCTTCAAGTCTCTGAAACAGGTTTGAACTGTAATTTCCAACATAAAAAAATGGTCAAGTTCTTAAGTGTGTTTCCTCTCGTCCACAGGAAGCCACCCCACCCTATGCTAGACTTTGACATCCCAGTGCCGATAGTTGGCGGCCGGGAGTTACCAGACGGTGACGATCTATGGGTACTGTTCTTCATCATCATCATCATTGTTCGAAAGTCAGGGCAAGTCCTTGAACCACTGGGCCCCACTTTAGTGTCTAAACCTGAATATCTCTTGAGGTTTTGCAAAGGAGCACTAAAGATTAACTGAGTACTGATGAATATATAACCATCATTCTAAAGTTTAAAAATTTGTTCCATCCCAAGGGATTGCTCCTACTTAGAGCTTTTGACCAGTCACTCTGATCGTCTTCAATAGACTGACCCAGTGAGGCTTGTCACAGGGCTTCTCTAAAGTGCGAAGTGTGTTTGAACAAAAGTTTTAACTTTAAACATGTACATGTAACTACAAACACAGGTAAAACCTTAAGACATGATTTCATCATGCAACTCTTTTTTCCGATCTGTAGAGGACCTGTTTCTCTTTGAACTTTCAAAAAAATCGTCTTCCCTTATTTCCATATCAATCAATAGTTAGTACTTGTAAACCTAGTTTTCTGACAAGTCTCTAATGTCACTGACAAAAGGTAGTGAATAATCCCAAATCATATCCAGTTACTTGAGTAAATGTTTTTTTTTTTTGGCACACAGGACCTGTTGCAGAAGAAGCAGGTTAACGAGGTAGACTACCTGCTGGGCACCACCAGCGGAGAGAACAGTAACCTGCTGTTAGCCACAGCCCCACAGGTCACCGAGGCCGGACTGAGCAGTGCGGATCTACGGGCGATCCTACCCACCGAGATAAAGATCGTCGCAAGCCAGTATGCTGTAAGTGTTCATTATGTTCACGCCAGTTCAATTTCTCAGCTTTTATGGTCAATGCCACTCTATGGTTGAATATATAGAATTTGGGCAATGAGTTATTGAAAGTTTTCTTCTCAACTCTCTGTTTTCTAGCCTTGTGTCCAAACCTGTTTCAGGCCCAGGCTATCTGTTTTCTGCTTCCATGGTCTATCTACTAAATTAACAGTTTTCTGATTTATTATACTTTTGGATTCAGTTCTTTTTTTACTATTTTTTTACTGGAGTGTTGAGCTAAAATTCGTGAGTGTTTGCTGAGTTGAGGGCTAAATGCTCCTGGGGTTTTCAAACCTTTTATTTCTTGTCCTCTACAGGGTGGAGACGTAAACGCCCTGGTGCAGCCTGTGATTGACGAGTACATTGACCCCGCCATGGCGGACAACCCGATCCACACACGGGACCAGTTCATCCAGCTGATGACTGACGGGAGGTTCGCCGCGCCGACCGTCATGATGGCCCAGGCAGAGTCAGGTGAGGAAGCCTTGCTTTACTTGTTTGTATGTTTGTAAATATTAATGATATTTAGTGTGTTCCGTAAAACTACGTAATTCAGCCTTTTGTACAATTTTTTGTATTATTAGGCTGCAATGTTGTTTTAGATTTATGTCAATTTGCCAATAAACCATTTATACATACTTGTTTAGAAGGAAAACATGTTGTTTTTGCTCTGTTCCTTCTTCTTCTCCATACATATGCTTACCTTCGTAGAGGGAAAACAAATGAATGTTTGTGCTCTAAACAATCGCTCTAAAATCTGGAGAAATAGTTTATTTGTTTACCTTCGCAGAAGGAAAACATACTGTTTTTGCTCTGTTTCTTCTTTTTCTAAAAACATATAAGGTCAATGACCTGGACCAGACATCTGTTACCATGGTAACTGGTGCTGTAGCAGACACCCTGTGGTGATGGGTTACATTATATATTATAGCAAGTGGCATGACAGAGTTGGAGGGGCTGGTCACTGGGCTTGTCACAATAAGTTAGGTTCCTGCACTTTTGGCTTCTAGGTCTGCATGGTTTCTGTCCTGGGCCCTTAATAGACCATCTCTTGGTGGTGCCAGTAAACTAAAAAAAAGATTTAAAAGCTAACTCTTGATATCTTTCGGAGATTTCCAGATTTTTTGTTTCAACCGGTTTTTTTCTCAACTCTCCCCCACAGCGCACGCCGCGGCGCGGGTTTACCAGTACGAGTTCCAGCACCGTTCAGACTCGGTTTTCCCAGACCTGCCATCCTACGCGAAAGCCGACCACGGGGACGACCTGTTCTACCTGTTCGGGCTGCCGTTCCTGCAAGATGGCGGCGCCTGGAAGTACAACTTCACTCAGGAGGAGCGGGAACTCAGTCTGGACATGATGGCCTACTGGGCTAACTTCGCCGCTAACGGGTGAGTAGATTCATGATCTATCAACAACACATATAGTGTGGCAAGAATTTCAAATGAAAGCTCATCTGTGTTTGTAGAATCTGGGTTTACGAAAAAACCTTGGTGCCTGTCCACCTGGCCTGGCTAGCACGTCAGGCAACTCAGATCCCCCCATTCATATCCTCACAAAAGATCCCAGCAGCTGCGCCCTCTAGTCACGTCAAGTACCTTTCCCAAGGACACAGTCTAGCCAGGAATGCCAGGAATCAAACCTGGGACCTCTGGAGTTTATGTCCGCTATAACCACTTGGTGAAATCAAGGATTGGTGTTTGTTGGTTGCTTTTTTTTTTTGATTATCTTTTTTTCATTACAATTCTTAAAGTGACCCGAGCGACTCGACAGGGTCTGCGTCTGCACGTGACCTGGTGACCTGGCCGCGTTACACGGCGCCGGGCCAACATTACCTGCAGCTGGACGTGACGTCGTTGGCCAGCACCCGGCTGCGCCAGGACCGGATGGCGTTCTGGAACCGCGACGTGCCGGCGCTCATGGGTAAGAAAGTTCCGCGAACAGGCGGGGCGGGGAGGTCCACGTGGAGCGTTCTGCTTGTAGCGTTTTCCGCTGCTGTGTGTTTGCTACATCAGTGGTGAACCTTCCATCAGTGATTGGCCGAAAATATGAGATGTAGCAAAGCCGCGCCACACATGTAGCCTTTTTAGCTTTAGTCCGCTACGGCCAAGATCCTCTACTGTAGCTAACATTACACTGCCCTACTACTTCTAGCTACCTCAGTTGAGAATGGCCGCTTAAGCTCTTTTACATTTGCAAAAGAATACAGAGACAATTATGGTATCAAGTAATGTATGACATGTCTAAAATACCTCAACCTTTTATACTTTTAATACCTGTAATTATAGTAACTGGTTTTGGATGTAAGATGCCAGGTGCATATTTTATAGACTTGGAAATGCACACTTACAAAATGTACAAGACTTAAAGCATATCTGTTTTTCTTTTCTTTTCTTTCAAATCCTACATTACAAAGTACTTTGTAGTCTAGCTTGATCAGTTTCTTACCACTATTGATGCTAAGTTTCTGTAATAGCAAGAGTTGCTGTATGTATCTTTTACAATTGGTGAGCAATAAAAAGCAAAAAAATGTGCCTGTATGATGTGAATTCTTTCGTGTGTACCTCATTATACTGATCAGATCTAAAACAAGTCTATCTCCAAAAGATTCTTATTTTGTCTGTCATCTGCAGTCTTTATAGAAACTTAAGCATGGTCTGAGAAGTTTGTACTTTTCTCATCCATGTAAAAAAAAGTGCACTGCATCACTTATGCAAATATAGTGTTTGAACAATGACATCATTCAGCTTTGTCATGACCATATAAGGCCATCCCATCAGCCAACGACCTGCGGGTCGTTGACCTTTCAACCTGGTGTACAAATTAGCCAATGCATTGTGTTTTCTTAGCGTGTTTGGCTTAGGTACAAAGAGTTTGGCATACAAACAGATCCTCATTAAATAGGGCATTTGGGAAGTCTAGGAGTGTCGGTTTGTAGTATGTAAGGATGGCCGGTTGTTACTGTGGGTTTGTCACCTTTGCAGCAGTGGTTGTGGTTTTCAATCTTACAGGTGGTTCAGGTGAGGGTGTTGAGGTTCACCTCTAACCTTTGACTTCAGTAGGGCAATACTAAACAGCCCCAACAGGGCATTTGGGAAGTCGGGAGTGTAGTTGTTACTGACTGTGTTAGGATGGCTGACAACTTTGTAGCCTTTGCAGCAGTGGTTACTAGTGGTTCTCAATCTTACAGGTGCTTCGTATTGTATACACATACAAAAATATAGTACATAACTTGTTAATATTATCATGAAAGTTCATCTGTTACAATTGTTTTAAAAGTTAAAAGTTTTGAACCAACACAAAGAAAATTCACCAAGAGCTAATTTGACCAGTCTACTGAGGAAGACTTGGTCTCTCAGGGTAAGAGAACTTCCTGTATGTTGGATCAAAAGTTTTAAAACTTTAAACAAACTGTTAATATGATATGTAACCCGGTACCGTTACTCCAGAAGGCATTGTTGTCTCCACCACCCATGGTGATGTTAGAGGGTCAGAGTTCGTGCCCTCTTCCGTCCTCGGAAATGCTGTCCACGATCGCGTCTTCACCTTCAAGGGCATTCCTTATGCCGCCCCACCTGTGGGAAACCTCAGGTGAGCTTCTCCACCCGTCTTAAGATGCAGATAAAAAGAAAGATGAAAAAGGAAATCATGATGGACCAAACATTTTCCTTGGAGGATGAAAAAAGAATGAATGAATGAATGAATGAATGAATCAATAAATATTAGATACATACATGTCACAAAACGCTGTATAGTCCGTTGTACACTACAAGTTATATAGGGCGGTGTCCATCTCCATTTCCATGGCCCTTAGGCCACACGGCTGTGCAAAATGACAGAGTCTACTGTTAGCACTGTGTGTTTAACTTTCATACTGTTTGCTTTAAGCTTCTGAATGCCAAGCATAGAGGCAATGTGTTTCTTGAATAACACATTGCATACAAACAAGTTCTAGACTCTGCTCTACCGTTCTAATCCACCAGGTGGCGCCCTCCACAAGCCCCCAGCAGCTGGACAGGCGTGCGAGATGCGAGGGAGTTCGGGAACAGGTGCCCCCAGATCTTCGGTCCAGGAGATCCCATGGATACTTCCATGGATCCGATTTTTAGCGAAATTCTGTTCGCCAAGGGCAAGACAGAGGGAGAGGACTGCCTGTTTCTGAACGTGTACACACCGGAGGTTTCAGCCACCGCAAACCGACCTGTAAGTACTGTCTCTGCGTTGTTATACTAATTAGACTTAACCCTTTCAATGATGTAAAAGTTTATACCTATCACATACTAGCCACCCACTCAGGTATTAGTTAGGCTAGCCTTACCAAAGTGTACAGGGGTAGTATGTACTACTAGTAGATACCATACTTTGTACCCTGTACAATTGTTGTGTAATAAAGTTATTCTTATTACTAATGACCATTATGCTCCAAGCAGATCCTATACAGTGGCAAGGACCAGGTTCTGCTTGGAGGTGGCTAATGGTTACTGCCTTGCCACCATAGGATTCGCTTAGTATCAGAAAAATGATAAAATCTTTGTTGTAGTACTTCTTAAGATTTTGAAATTAGCTCCCAGTAAGATCTGTAATTAGGTTTTGTTTTATATGGTGCACCCAAAAAGTTTTTTGTTCCCCCCAATGTATTTGGTTGGGTGCACCAGTGCACCTATTCCTAAAATGTATTTCAAGCCCCACCATATACATGTATACATGTAGCAAAACCTAAACACTACACGTTGCAGGTGATGGTGTGGATCCACGGCGGCGGTCTGTTCACTGGAACCGCCGACTCCTACCCGGCCGAGTTCCCCACGGCCTTCCAGAACATCGTCATGGTAACCATCAACTACCGAACGTTCCACCTCGGCTTCCTCCCCACGCTGGAGGAGGACGCACCCGGAAACTTCGGGCTCCTGGACGGGGTAAGTTCTGTGTCGATATAACCAGTATAACCGCGGCCCTTCGGCATCACACACGGTACGGTCGCTCGTCTGCAGATTATTCTCCTGTTGTGTCTTTGAACATTTTGTCGTTTACTCAACAATTCATTACCACAACAAAACATTTCAAAACTGAATCTTCCTTAAAGTTTGCATTTTGTCCTACCATTTTATTGTGTTCGTCATTAAGTGGGAAATTGGTCATGTATATATTGGCCATACATGTATATGCATACATTGACCTGAATAAACAGATACAGAGTTGGAGTTGAAAATTTCTCTACTTGTCCCTGAGGTAGCATTTAAAATAATCTTTTGTTCTTACATGACATTATTAGTCGTTTCCTTTCTTTGTTATAGCAAGGACAAATTATCATTAAGAAATGGTATAATTCAGCCTAAACTTTGCCTTTGTAGATGAAAGCCCTTGAGTGGGTGCAGGCGAACGTGCGGAACTTCGGGGGCGATCCCGACCGCGTGACGATCTTCGGCGAGTCCGGCGGGGGCTGGGCCGTGTCGCTGCTGGTTCTGTCGCCCATGTCAACGGGCCTGTTCCACCGGGCTGTGTCTCAGAGTGGCGTGGCCGGAGTGCAGGTCTAGTTATCCTATTTTTATTTTATTTATTACAAAACTTAATTGTACATAATTGTATAATCCAATGCTTGCATATATCATAATTGTAAATTTAGACTGTATATGATTGTTATCAATAATTGTATTTGTATGTATACCCATGAAGTCCCTTCTAACTCCATAGTATACCTAACAATTTACTTTTTCCCAGGGTTGACCCTTAATGATAATCTATGATCGATGACTAGTTGGGCAACCCTGGCTGTTGTAAGCTGAACTTAAAAGTTATAAAAAAAACTATTTTTTTTTCAAATGCAACAGAACATTACACTCACTCACAGGCAGCTGGGATGCTTAATTTCTAATTCAACCAGCTGACAGTTTTAAAGTCGATATCACACTGTCTCATATTCAGAGGCACCATATAAACTCTGTAAATTGTGCAGGTCAGTCAGAAGGGGGACATCACACGGACGCAGATTCTCGCTCGCCAGTTGAACTGCAGCACGGAGGTCTATGAAGACATGATGAGCTGTCTGAGAGGGTATGGTGGTACTTCTGTGTGTTGTAACATTCTATGTGTTGTAACGTTCTACGTGTTGTTACAGTAATGTTCTGTGTGTTGTAACATTGTGTGTTGTAATGTTCAGTTTGCTTGAACGTTAAGTGTGTTTGCCTTTCTGTGTGTTGAATGTGATGTTTTGTGTGATCAATTTTCATCAGTGTTCTGTTGGAATTTCTGAAAAACAATATTAAATTTTCTTTCTAACACAAAACTAGAAAATCAGACTCTGCACACTACAGTGGTATTATACTTAACTTTGCACCAGTACATTAGACTGACCACACACTAGAGTATATGACAGGTTTCAGTAAGCTAACATCAGGACTATTGTTTCCACACAGAAAGTCAAGCCAAGAGATCACGATGGCGCTGGACCCAGAGATCGCGTACATGGTGAACGTGTCGGTTGTCATAGGAGGCGACTTTCTCCCAGAGAGCCCTTGGGTATTATACTGACTCTGCTGACTTATTTCCTCAAATTCTAGTCCCTCATGAAACGCATTTTTGACAGTCACAAACTTACATTTGTCCTGCTTCGAGCTTTGTGTTTTATTGATATTGCCGAGCTTCTACCAGGCTTCAGAAGCAACTGGCAAGAGTAGAAATTTACAAAATAGACAGATAACATACCAGGAGAGTTGGTCTGCTAAGTACACCATATTGGCAAATGTACTCCTAAGCTGACTAACTCCCCTGGCATGTTATCTGAGTGTCTATTTTGCCAATTTCTACTCTTTCCAGCCGCTTCCGAAGCCTGGTAGAGGCTAGATATTGCCTAATGCTGTGTGTAAAATCTGACAATCTTCGCTGTGTTTTAGTCCCTCATGAAACAGTTTTGACATATGTTGTACATGTTTTGTCTTCCTTGGAACTTTGCATTTTTGTTTCTTTCGTTGTTGTCAGTTGTTTTTCGCCCTGTACCTATGTCACTTCACATCCATCCTGAAAATATCCAAGAAGCAACTTTAAGTTATTAAATTGGTGTGGCCTATAGCTAATGCCATGTGTAAAGTCTGAGAATCTCCGCTGTGGTTCTCACACAGGACCTGATGCAGCAGAGGCAGGTGAACCAGGTGGACTACCTGCTGGGCTCCAACATAGATGAGTTCAGCATCTCTTCAGCAGACATCCTGGGGAAGGACTTCATGGAGAAACTTGAAGTCGGGATGACCAGGACCGAATACGAGGAGGATCTGCCCAATCACTTGAAATGGGCTGCCGGCCAATATTTGGTGAGGGCCTTGGATACCAAAGTTTGACAAATTCTGCCGATACATGTTGTGTAATAACGTCCTATCGTGCTCTCTGGTCTGTTTCTGCTGTCTCAAGATTTTTACCCATTTTTATTAATTTGTAATGTAAACTTTGAAAATAAGCTGCGATGGAATTGTTAAACATTTATGAAAAGGACATTCATATGAATGTAAATTATGTAGACAGTTCTTTTCCTGTTGGTTACAGTTTCTTAATCTCCAAGCAGTATGTGGGGCAAGGGGAGCCTATATTGGCCACCAATGGATACAGGCAGCCAACATAGGCTCCCCTTGCCCCTCAGAATATGCTTGGAGAGTTTATAACTTTTGTCTGTTTCCCCTGCACAGGGCGGCAGTCTCAGTGAGCTAGTACAGCCAGTGATAGACCAGTATCTGGACCCGGCCCACAGCCAGGACAACCCGGCGGTCTTACATCAACAGTTCCTCCTGTACCTGCAGCACTTTACACAGTTCCTAACTCCAGCTGTACATTTTTGCCCCACAGGGCAGCAGTCCCAGTGTGCTTGTACAGCCGGTGATAGACCAGTACCTGGACCCGGCCAACAGTCAGGACAACCCGGTGGTCTTACATCAACAGTTCCCCTGGCTCTGTCCATGTCAGTTACAATATTTAACTTCAGCTGCTCTTGTCTGTTTCCCCTTACAGGGCGGGATTCCCAGTGTGCTTGTACAGCCTGTTATAGACCAGTACCTGGACCCAGCCGACAGTCAGGAGGACCCGGTGGTCTTACGCCGACAGTTCCTCCTGTACCTGCAACACTTCACAGACTCGTGGTTCACTGCACCAACTGTCATGATGGCACAGGCCATGGCAGGTACGAATTCTATAATTTATTTTAATTGCAATAATAATTTACAATTACATGTATTGCAAACAAGGTTGAACTGTAATTTTCAACACGCTAAAATTTTTTTGACTGTACAACTATCATTCCTTGATAGGCAGAAGTTGTACAATTGAGATTTTGGGTAAGTCCAACTTACCTATTTACTAAGCAAAAAGCAGCCATAGCTGATGTCAGGCAAAGATTCTTGTGTATAAACTTCTGTTAAAAAATACAGAAGACCCTCCTTGATAAGACTGTTTGTGTCACACGCACACAGCCCACCCTGTCCGAGTGTACCATTACGAGTTCCAGACGCGCACGTCGTACTTCGCCAGCCGACCGGCCTACGCTAAGGCCGACCACGGGGACGACGTTTTTTATCTGTTCGGAATTCCGCTCCTCCGCAATGTCACTGGCGGCGCCTGGAAGTACAACTTCACCCAGGAGGAGCGGGAACTCAGTCTGGACATGATGGCCTACTGGACAAACTTCGCTGCTAACAGGTGAGTTACTGTTATACAGTAGTTACTGCTCTACAGTAGTTACTGTTATACAGTAGTTACTGCTCTACAGTAGTTACTGTTACACAGTAGTTACTGTTACACAGTAGTTACTGTTACACAGTAGTTACTGTTACACAGTAGTTACTGTTATACAGCAGTTACTGTTATACAGTAGTTACTGAAGTTACTGTTATACAGTAGTTACTGTTATACAGTAGTTACTGTTAGACAGTAGTTACTGTTAGACAGTAGTTACTGTTAGACAGTAGTTACTGTTAGACAGTAGTTACTGTTATACAGAAGTTACTGTTATACAGTAGTTACTGTAGTTACTGCTATGCAGTAGTTACTGTAATACAGTAGTTACTGCTATGCAGTAGTTACTGTAGTTACTGTAATACAGTAGTTACTGTTATACAGTAGTTACTGTAGCTCCTGGAAGTACGTGATGTCATACTGCTGTATAATTGCTTTGTTTGTTTGCTTATTTTTCACCCGTGTGGAGTGAGGAAAGTCGTTTAAAGTACCTTTGCCTAGAACACAACGTCTAGCTGCAGGAATGCAAGGGAACGAACCCGGGACATCTCGAGTTCATGTTTGCTATAACCACTTGCTGAAATTGCTGTAACAGTTTGTTTTTCTTATCTTTTTTCATTACAACTCTTCCAGTGACCCGAGCGACTCGACAGGGTCTGCGTCCCCGCGTGACCTCGTGACCTGGCCGCGTTACACGGCGCCGGGCCAACACTACCTACAGCTGGACGTGACGCCGTCAGCCAGCACCCGGCTGCGCCAGGACCGGATGGCGTTCTGGAACCGCGACGTGCCGAGGCTCATGGGTAAGAAAGTTCCGCCGACCGGCGGCACGGGGAGGTCCACCTGGAGTGTTCTGCTTGTAGCGTTTTCCGCTGCTGTGTGTTTGCTACATCAGGGGTGACCCCGACAGTGATTGGCTGAAAATATGAGATGTAGCGAAGCCGCGCTGCACATGTTGCCTTGTTAGCTTTAGTCCGCTACGGCCAAGGTCCACTACTGTAGCTTACACTGCCCTACTACTACTTCTAGCTACATCAGTTGAGAATGGTCGCTTAAGCTCTTTTTTACATTTGCAGAAGAATAAGAGACAATTACGGTATCAATTAATGTATAACATGTCAAAAATACCTCAACCTTTTATACTTTTAATACCTGTAATTATTATGATAATAACTGGTCTTGGATGTAAGATGCCAGGTGCATATTTTGTAGACTTGGAAATGCACACTTACAAAATGTATAAGACTTAAAGCATATCTGTTTTTCTTTTCTTTCAAATCCTACATTTTTTTTTACAAAGTACTTTGTCGCCTACCTTGATCAGTTTCTTACCTCTGTTGCTAAGTTTCTGTAATAGCAGAAGTTGCTGTATGTATCTTCTACAATTGGTGAGCAATAAAAAGCAAAAATTGTTCCTGAATGATGTGATTTCTTTTGTGTGTACCTCATGAACAAAAACACATCCGTTGATCCCGCTGAGTTTACTGAGTTCCTCGTCTCTAACCCCCCTCCACGCCTCGGGGACGGTTCTGGAAGGACTGGGGCTCGACGGTCACAAGTTTACAAACATACACAAATACATGCCAACTGGTATAAACTACAGGTAAATAAGCACCAATCAGGCAAGAAGTTTCACGTACTTGTCTGATGTGAACGATTTATTGATATAAAAGGTTGAAGAAATATCTTTAAGTTATCGAGCTTCATGGCCTCAACGTTTGTTTTCTGTTTATTTAGACATCTGCAGTGCCTTCTGTGCCATCAGTAGCGCTCCTTCTTTAGTCTTGTTCCCTCCAATAAAACCTGAAGCATGAACAAAAACACACCCGTCTATCCCGCTGAGTTTACTGAGTTCCTGGTCCCTGACTCCCCTCATGTTTGTTTGTTTGTTTGTTTGTTTGTTTATTTAGACATCTGTAGCGCCTTCTGTGCCATGAGTAGAGCTCCTTCTTTAGTCTTGTTCCCTCCAATGAACCCCGAAGCGTGAACAAAGATGCAGCCGTCGATCCCACTGAGTTTACTGAGTTCCTCATCCCTCACTCCGCGCCACGCCTCGGGAAGCGACAGGCGGTTCTGGAAGGACTGCGGCTCGATGGGGACGCACTGCACGCGCCAGTTCCCGCCCTGGTCCGCGTACAGCACGTACTTCACGCCCGGCGCGACGCCCATCTCGCGCTCGAGCTCGAAAAGGTGCTCCTTCCACGGACACACCTGCTCCATCAGGATGACCTCTCCGCTGGGGTCAACGTCCTGCCGGGCGTCCAGCGCGTCTCGGACAAGCTTCCGCCCCGGCCACCACACCTGGGGCAGAGACATTTAGTTAGTACACTGTACATACTTTCTTTGCTGTCTCTGAACCAGGTTTAGTGGCCCTTTAGTTCTGAATCTGTTTCTGTATCAGTATAGCCGGTATAACCACACCTGCGACAGAAACAGATTTTCCAGTTTAGTTACACTGGCTTTGGCTTTTTGTAATTTTTGTACAACAGAATTACTCTCCAAACAGAAGTTTGGGATTTGGTTTATTTTTGACGTACTTTTTACACTCAATCTTTTCACATTTAATTGCAGGAGTTGTTTAAAACTTTCTAGTGATGATGCTGGGTTCCACTCATCACCTATTGTTGGGTCACTGCATGGCTGGCCGGTGAAGTTGCTGAGACTCTATCCTGCAAGGGTATTGATATTTGCTGTGCACAAGAACCTCAGGACAGAGGCAAATGGCGAGACACCATCAAGCCCCAAGTATCAGTGTGCAAGCATGTCTAACCCTCGGTTTATGGGGAACAACAGACGATAAACTGGATAGAGAGAGAGAAATAAGAAGTACAAGTCCCGCACCTGGCTGTAGTATCGCACGCGATCCTCGAACTCCTCCCCGACCATGGCCATGGCGGCGCGGAACCGGTTGTCGGTGTCCTGGTCTGGCTCGTTCCAGCCGGGGTTGAGCCGGCCGACGCGGGCGCTCAGGTGCGTGGACATGGCGTACCGCGGGCTCCCATCGTGCTGGGAAATCCCGTTGTCTATCGCGTCTATCTCCTCTATCAGGTTCTGAATGAATGAATGAATGTGCGTGTAGATAGAGGTTAGACATCCAGGTCACTGACGAAAAGTAATGGGCACTACTTGAAACATCCAACAGTTTTTTGTGAGCGATTGAATGAATTTTTCTTACCTTGCTTACATTTCGATATCTGTCAGACACCTTCCTCAGTCAGACATCGAAACGTAAGCAAGGTAGGAAACAATCCCTGGTTGTCTATATGAAAATCCCAATATCCTATATGTTCTACCAGAAATCGCTATAAAAGCTCATAGTTTGCATCAAAACCATATTAAAATGTCTGCCGACCTGGTAGACTTTGGTGTGGTGTGAAGACTAGCCAACTGCTGCCCACCCCTATGTGTGTCAGGGACCCCACAGCAGCAACGAAGACTGGACACTACTACTACCTTCAAGACTATATTTAAACCTCTGCCCACCTGGTAGACCTTGTCGTACACCACGTTGCAGAGTTTCTTGTCATCGCCCCTGTCTCCGAGCGCGTTTGCGATGATCTCATGTCCGAAATGGAGATACACGAGTCCGGCGCTGCTGAGCTTGGTCACCCAGGGCTTCTCCGGTACCAGGCTGTGCATCGTCTCGGTAAAGGTTCGCTGGTGGTGGTCATACCTGGGGAGAAATACAACACACGGTTAATCAACTAGTACAGTCCATAATCAACCTTGATCTTCATCTTCCCAAAACCTACTCACATACCAAATATCATCAGACGATATGAATTTCCTGGATAAATAAATAAACAAACAAACACAATCCATCAAGGCCTTCTATCTTCAGTTATGCTGACCACAAACTCACACACATTCATAGTCAATAATCATACCTCCATTCTTCTGGGATAACACATCGCCTTTGAGTGCTTGGGTGGTACTGCCCACCAAAGTTCTGCAACTGGACTATCGCCAAACATAACAACAATAAAAAAACAAATGAACAACTCCTACATCACCTGTGTGTATCTGGATCATACTTCCCACCGACGTCCACCACCACCAAAACAAATAAACAAACCTGTGAGTATCTGGGTCGTACTTCCCGCCCACATCACAGCTGGCCAGCACGTCCGGGTTCCGAGACCGGACAATCGCACAGTCGCTGTACCGCGGGAGTTTCCTCAGCAGGTAGGACAAAACATAACAAATAAACAAATAAACAAACCTGTGTGTTTCTGGGTCATACTTTCCGCCTACGTCCACCACCACATCACATCCGGCCAGCACGTCCGGGTTCCGAGACCGGACGATCGCGCAGTCGCGGTACCGCGGGAGTTTCCTCAGCAGGTAGGACAAAACATAACAAATAAACAAACAAACAAACAACAAACCTGTGCGTTGCTGGGTCATACTTCCCGCCGACGTCCACCACGACATCACAGCCGGCCAGCACGTCCGGGTTCCGAGACCGTACAATCACACAGTCGCGGTACCGCGGGAGTTTTCTCAGCAGGTAGCAGGCCAGGGCCTCGTCACAGTGGAATGTGCCGTCATGCGTACCTGATAACGAAATATAAAAACTAACATTATTAAACATACATAATATATACATTATGTTACACGTTATGTGTGTATCAGATAATAGATTCAGAAGGTAGCAGGCTAGAGCCTCGTCACAGTGGAATTGTGCCTGACAAATAAAACAACTGACATTGTGTACTTAACTGTAACTGCTATACCATAGACACTAATCTACCTGAATCATTATGCATTGTACTTTTTGAAGACATTGAAAGAACTCCAGATATTCATAGTCAAGTGAGTTGTGCATATCACAATCCGGAAATGTACTTAGAGTACTTGTGAGACTGACTATATATATAACGTTACCTGTAACTTCAACATCTACTAAAGTAGTGTCGTATGTACATTTACAGTTTACACATAAATTTTATATTCACATCTGTTTACATTTCTAACATTTAGATATACTACAGGACAGAGCCTGGACATCGCGTCCACGAATCAAAACAAAAAGAGCAACTCCCACCTATCTGCTTGGCGTCTCCGTTCTCCCGCAGTTTCTTGTTGGGCTGAGACATCTCAGAACCGCGTCTTAAAGACGGCAGAGTCAGAACAGGAGAGAACAGGCGTCTGCTGACTAGGAAAGCTGCACGAGAAAGCGCAATGGTGACTGTAGCAGGGGTGGAGGGGGGGGGGGCACCAAGCGTGGTGATAGTACGGGGCGGTGTGCAACTCACATCCTTCCGCGGTCATCAAGTAATCCCTTCAAATTTTACACCAAATATCAGCAATTAAACATTTTACAAAAATGTATTATAAACCAGATTAGTATTTAAAAAATGTAATATCAAGCTTTTGTTGTGTTTACTGAATCTGGTTTTGATATTCGAGTGTGTACGAGGCCAAAGGTCTCCATTGGTCGGATCACTAAAGCAAAGTCTTGTATCGTTCCGTTTGACTACCCGTAAGTAGTTCGGGTTTAGGAACAGGTGCATATCCCTCAAGTCAAAACTTGCTAATATTCAGTCGGTGTTTTAGTTTCTAACTCAAAATGACATAAAAGGCCTGGGATATACTCTAGCTGATTATTCACCGTATCTTTGTCGAATTCTACCATCCATAACCCCTTAGGAAGGCCTGATGGAGGCTAACATAAGTTAACAGGTGTCAGTAACATACTAGTACGTTTTCTTATGGTTTATGATATTTTTAAACAACGCAAACAAAAAGGTCCGGTAAAACCACTTGAAGCGCATTTAGTGAACAAACATTCGTGCCGCTCTATTAATACATCACTACTAAGTTTTGATACCCGTACCACAAGATAGTCGATGTCAGGACTATTGTACAAAGACTAGAAGAATACCAGGTCAAGTTCAACACCAAATTGAGATTCGCTTACTGGGAAAACACCAGGTGCGTTGGACGACACTTTTTGAGGAAAAAACTCTCAGACTAAAAGATTTTCGTTCAATATTGGAGAGCACAATTATAGGAGACCTATTGTGTTATGTAGAATGTGTACAACAACAGCCCATTAAATCGGTTTTGCCCTGTCTGTACTGGTTTGTTGTGCGAACTCAGGGTTAAGTTTGTTTTGTAATGAAGCCGTGGCTGTGAATGAGTGTGCGTGGGCGCTGGCACGTAGGTATATACATGTGAAGGTGCGTTCACGCTCGTGTGTGTGTGTGTGTGTGTGTGTGTGTGTGTGTGTGTGTGTGTGTGTGTGTGTGTGTGTGTGTGTGTGTGTGTGTGTGTGCGTGCGTGTGTGTAGCCTTCACCAGACTCCGTTGCAGGCTGTATAAATAGTAGAAATTGGTCTTAAGAAACCTAAACTGGACCCTCTATGGCCGGCCAACTCCCCTGGCTAGCCTGACTGAACCTCGCTTTTCGCCGGCTCCCTAGTACCAGTAGTTGGGTAGCGGGCTATGTAGGCAGCCCCCCAGAGGTTTAGTTTCACAGGCTACTCCCCTGGCCAGCTATATTCTTTTTTGGTCGATTTCTGATGGAGACTACGTGCGTGTGTGTATGTGGTGAGTACATGTATATGTGGGTTCCACTGTGCATATACAGTGTGTGTCCGTGTATGTGTGTGCATGTGCATGTGGGTGTGTATGTGTGTCAGTGTCACCGTCCGCGATTACGCGCGCGCGTGAGTGCGTGTGTTTGTGTACACTGTGCGTCAGTGTGTTTACGTCAAGTAAGAAGCGGATGTTCACCCCAACAATACGCGGCTTCCCCAAAATGAAACCAAAGAACGCACAAAACCCGACATGTAGTCTTGTTTACTCACGAATGTACATCCTTTCGTGCTGCAAAACACGCCTTTGTCTCTCCTATAACGCGATCCCGAAAACACGCAGTCAATTAAGCCTCCATCCGCACAATAAGAAACCCTACCAGACGTTTCTTGCTCCTTTCCCCGCTGCCCCTGTCTTTAGAAGAAACAACGTGAGTCAGTGACACGGGAAGGAAGCGTAAGACGAGCCGTGTAGGTGAGGTGAGTGACGTCTGGGTGAAAGTAATGTTGTGAGGTAACTGTAACCGCCAAGCCTTTGTGCCAGTGAACGTAAACATTAACACACAAGGCTAGCGTCACACACACGTGGGGAGCTGGACGGAGTCAACACCACAGACTGCCGCCTGGACAAGACACAGGTGAGTTTATAGCCGCTTCTATCTTATCCAGAACCGCGTCTACCTAGTTCCATGCCTAAATGGGTTAGGCTTAGGATCAGGTATGGTTGTTAGCCTCCACCAGGCCTTTCTACGGGAATACGGATCGTAAAATTCGGCAAAGTAAAAAAAAAGTGTAAAATTGGCCAAGGGTGTCCGGCCGCGGGAAGGTACTGTTTCTTTCCCTCTGACTGCGCGGCCAGTCAAACCTACATTGCGGTCAAACTCCTCCGGCAAATATTCTCCTGTATATAGCCAGCGTAGTTAGTCTGGTAGAGACTATATGGTTGTGGATAGTCTCTGGATGCGCGCTTTGTCCAGAACCGTTCCCGACTTCTCAAAACAAACTACAAAACAAACGTTTCCTGTACAGGATGTCTTCAGTCTGGACGTGTCTGTAACTGGGATGACAGAACGACTTATTTATTCAGAGTACTATACAGTTACTAGCATCAAATTTAAACGCCTTTTTTTATGTCGTTGCAATTTGTATATATATAACACCCCCTTTCCACTAAAGGTTGCCACCACAGAATTTTGACAGATCTCTCCAACGCTATTCATAGATAAAGAACGATTTTTCTCATTTTGTTTAGCCTCTTTTAAATCATGGGATTTTGTGCCTTCTCTAAAGAGCTTCCTTCATAGACTTGAAGTCTTCTTCAGAACCTGTATGATGATAAAGAGAGGCGCTATATAGTTCAGAATCATGGAAAGGGCCGCAGAAATTACATAAGTCAGGCAGATGTTACATAAGTTACGTAATTTACGTTTCTCGCATTCCGACCCGTTGAGTGACTCCTGATAAGGACAAAGTAAAGTACTTGAAGACCGGAGATTCTATAAAGGTGAGAAAATCCGCCAGAACAAAACGGAACCGGCGGGTTAAGCAAGTTCTGGAACAACTGGGGCTTTTGGACTCAGTGTCGCCTGGTGACTAAGATCTGTGTTATCTTGTAAACGAATTTTGTTCCGGAGCAAACTTGAGAATCACAGTCTTGGCAAGAAATAGCGAGGGAAGAACTCGGTGCTGGAAAGATAGGTATGCCGAAATGTCGGTTCGTTTGTCTAAAGTAGAGTGGATTCATTCATCCAGTAGCAAACCGACATCTACAACTCTCCAGATGTCTTACTGTTACTGAGGGTCGACTGATGTGTGAATTTGTGGACGATCGATGTCGGTAAGTTTGAGGAATGAATCCACTCCACTGTATTGGTTCGTTGTCTACCACCACCACACCTATCAATGGAATGAAAAACTGTAGATATTGGGCCAAAAATGGGGAAATATTTCATGAGAGACCTGGACAGTCATTTGAGCACAGATTTGTCTGTGTTAAATTCTATGGCTGGTTAAATCTTTTTGCAATTTTTCTATTCTTTTTTCAGCAGGCAACACACAGAGTCTGGTAGAGATTATGTTTAACCGTTTTGTATTGGCTAGTTGATAGCTTTTTACGCAAACATCCAGCTTAGTCTTCAATTCATCCTAAATTTCCGCAAACATATCATCGAGTTATCCCCTAAATCATGGCGTTAGGCAGCTTCTATCGGCCTATTGAATGCCGCAGATCTCTAGGATTACGAGATGGGGCGAAAATCGTTCCTATTGTACCGGCTTCCGCAACTGCAATGATACCTGCAATCGCTAGATGTCGCTTTTACACATCGTGTCTAAAAGTGAAGGCGGGTGGTTTTTATAACGACCTGGTTCGTGTGCACGGAATTAATACATTTTGAAGGCCTGTTGGGAATAATTAGGACTTTTGGGTATCAATCAAAATAAAGCTGTCAAAGTTTGACGTCCAACCATAAATTTAGGACGCAGCGTTTTAATTTGCGTCATATACCCTGAAATTAGACTAGATTGATTGTTTCTTCTTTGTAATATTTGTACAAAACCCCTGGGAATGTTTTATCCTCATCGATAACCTGACAAAAGCGATCGCTCAGATGTATAGTACTTGTTAATTATCCCGTGCCTAATGATCATTAAAGCTACCCATGCTTCGCACGACATAAATACATAAATAACGTTTAGATCTATAGCTACAAACCGCATCATGTAAAACAGATTTGTTTCGTGAGCAACCTAGATTTTTAAAAGGACTAGTTTGTTTTTCTGAAACTTTAATTGTTGTAAATATGGATGATCAGCTATGGCTAGCCGAAACTCTCTAAAAGTTTAATTTTTAACGTCATATTCCTTGATCCCTGATCGAAATATTCTCACTGCAACATTTTTTTCTGCGGCTCACTTTCAAAAACCTACAATATTAAGTTAAACCAATCGATCAGATTTTGATATTTTCATTGAAATGGGGGTAGAAATATTTTCTTCGTTGTGAGCGTGGAATTCGAGAGTTGGTGTGCCAGCAGACAGAGCAAAAGACAATTTTGTTGTTGGACAGTTTGTACAGCTGCGCTAAAGCTAACATGTTACATCCATCATCTTGTTCAGCTATTGTTGGAACCGTGACCGACTGTGAAGAGTTTAGGTTTGCTGACCTTTGCAAAACTAACTGGAGTTCGAACTTAGGGGGTCACAAGTAACGTTACACGAGGACACTGACATTAGGGGTACGGGAGAATTGTAGTAGAAACTAAGAAAGTAATCATTGGGAAGATGAAACAAACAAACCCAAGAGAATGTTTTCTGATCAACAATATGCGACGTCTGACTGTGACTCCACAGAAACTTGAAAGTAATCATCATGGTGTCATGGATTGTCAGTCCACGGCGTGACAAAAGAAATATTTTCGAATTTCTTTTTTACGATTGAAGAAGAGACAGATAAAAAGAGGTCCAAACTGGACGGACGCAGACTTTACTTTTCATTTTCGCAGAACAAATGTTTCGTTTTGATACAGAGTGTCTGTGTCAGAGTGATGAAAAAAAAAAGGGAAAAACTCAATAAAATAGTGGTCATCGCTATTTTTGATACGGTGTAATATTTTGATGGCAACTCCCGTGGCTATTTACAACCCG